ATCATTAGGTACATAGGACAAGAGAGTTCTTTATTTTTAATCTGGAAATATTTTTTTAAATCACAGTGCAAAGTATATGATTTATTAGGCAATGCTAGCATTAAATACAGCAAGGGTATGCAAGTGACAAAGTGGGATAATAACTGGGTCTTGTGAATTGTGATCAAAGTGCACACTGTTGAGATCTTATATTCTAGCTCATCTTTTCTCAAACATTATTGACCAGCTCAGGTGCATGAGCTGCATTGTACTAACTCAATTGATTCTATTTTTCAAAATCACAAACTTCCCCTTGGCTTTGGACAGTGACTTACAAATTCTTGGTCAAAAGGTTAGTGTGCATATGTGTGTTGAAGTAGTATTAATGTCATATCATGCTACAGGGGAATCCATAGGGATATTCCCACTGTTTATGCAAATGTGAAATGCTCCCCCAATAAGAAATGAAAGTAAAACTACATGTTTCTTTTTTCTGTTAAGAACATGCTCTTATAAGTTTTATCATAAAACACCATATTAGGCCATAGGCCAGAATGTTTGTAGACTAGGAGTCCCAAGATAACACTAGTGGCATTGGAGATGGCTACACTGATGGCAAACAATGACAGAGAAAGCCTAAATATGCCCTCTTGCTTTGCTTCTCTTTTTTTTTCTTTTATTATTTATATGTGCATACAAGGATTGGGTCATTTCTCCCCCCTTGTTGCTCTTAATTGACCTGAAAATCATTAATTTTAGAGGTCTTAGAGCTGAGAAATACATGAATAGTTCCCCACTAACTTTACTACAGGTAACACCTCTGATATGTGGGTTATGATAACAGTTGCTTAGGCTACTTTGTTTTTTTAAACATAGTCTCAGTTTATATAATCTCAAACCTCATAACATTCAATTCCATGTAATACTTAGAACCTTGAACTTTTTCCCTATGTTTCTTAATACCACATCTCTTTCTTACTGTCTTGAAAAAAGAATGTTGATCATTCAAGGTGATTTCCTCAAAGAGAGACATTAAAATCAAGAACACCAACAAAATTGATACATTAATACCTCATTACAATAAAATTAGGACACTTGTGACATTTACAGAGGACAAAGGCTTAATCTCTAAATTGCACGAAGAGTGTCTACACTGTAATAAATAAAACACATACCACTAAACAGAAAAGTGGGGAAAAACATGATACTACATCCCACATAAAGGAATTCTGTAGTAATAATGGGAATGATGGTTGTTCTAATTGTTCAGTGTGGCTCTCCTAGTGGGTAGATGGCTTTTAATTCTGCAGCAATTCAGGAACATGGCTTGATTAATTCTGAGAACAGTAGGTGTTCTGTTACCACATAATAAAGGAACAGATTCACATGCCTCTTCAAAATCCTTAGCAGAAAATAACACAATTCTCTTTTCAAGGATGATAGGAAATTTGAGTAAAAATTGTCCCTATAGTACCTTTCCCCATTCCTGAACATGGTATAGTGGATTTATTATAATTGAACCAATATTAATACATCACTATCAAACAAAGTCCATAGTTTACATTAGGATTCGTTTTTGTATTGTGCAATTGTGGATTCTTGTTTTCTGTTTTTTCCTTGGCTTTAAGAAATACATAGGTATATGTGTACATTGTTGCAGCATCATACACAATAATTTCTCTGCCCTAAAAATCCCCATTGCTCCACTTATTCATTCATCCAATTTCCCTACACCAAACCCTTAGCAATAACTGATCATTTTATTGTCTCTGTGGTTTTACATATTCTAGGATGTCACATAATTGGGTTGTATAGTACATAGTCAGACCCCTACAGTTTGACTATTTCAGAGGAGAGTTTAGCTTTGGTACCTAAATTGAATATACATATTCCATACAATCTTGTGATTCTCTGGATATACAATTTATAGAATCTCTTGCACATTCATACTGGATGCATACTTAAGAATGTTTGGAGCACTGTTTTTTATAGTAGGAAAGTGCTGAAATAAAAATTAGAATGAAGTGTGTATGCTTCTCACAGTAAAATATGAAAACATAGAGATGAATTTCACAAGGATAATAGGCAAAAAATGTACTAGAATAAATATAGTCTCATTTCTTTTATATGTACTTCTGGAGCAGGCAAATTGAAGAATGAATCACTACAGAAATGTTAAAATTCTCATGAAAAATATGGGGCTATTGTAAGGAGTGAAGATGACTGAAGTATGCTACACACACACACACACACACACACACACACACACACACAAGACAGCATAATGAAACCCATCAAATGGTGCTTGAAAAAGGTTGGAGGGGGTGGAATGCGGATATAATGGAGGGGGTAAACTTGTTCAAAGTACACTACATTATAACACTGTATGTGTATAGTATTACCACAATGATACCCCCTCTTATTATTAATGTATGCTAATTAAAATATAATAAAACTGTTAAAATAAGTAGAAGAGTACACTACACAAAAGAAAATAGTCAAGATACTTGATACACTCTAAAGAAATTATAATTGAGAAGGAACTGAGGAGCTTCAACAGTGTGGTTAATTTTCATCATTAAAACCTAGAGATAGTTAAGTGAGAGTTTATTTTAATATTATCATTTAAACTGTGATTGTATGTCACATATACAAGAAGATGTGCACAAATATATACACAATATATTATATATGCACATATTTTTAAATTGTGTGTATGTTACTATGTTTGCATGCTATTTCAGCATTTTTCTGAAGATTAAAGTAAAATTTTCCTTAAAATGGATAAAAATATTGCTCAGGTTTAAAAACTACTCAAGTTTTTTATAGATTTTGAATTTTAATTCATACACACAAGTAATTTGAATTCCATTTTCTAAACTTTTGTAGCTTAAATCATAAGCCTAGTTATTACTCCACTCTTAAATTTGAATTTCATTTTTTTAACCAAATGATAGTTGAATGGAATATTAAATATAGAAATATCTGTCACAGTAATGAGCTTACAGCAAAGAAGATACATACCTTTGCTTTGAGTAGAGGTAACAATAAACCTTTGCCAAGGAAACACAGGATACTACATTTATGTAGCTAGGCACAGAAGTACTTTTTCATTTAAAAATAAATGTTTGGTTCAATATGCTAAATTCATGATTTATCTCAGTTCAGATTGTCTACACATCCTGACATCCTGCCAGCCATTCTTTAGCCAAGACACTGAGAGGCTGAACATTCTTTTCAGTATAGACTGATCATCCACAATCACAGCACCATTCTGAAGGACTTTTGAAAACTTCTCTACTGCTCTGCTTTACATCATTTTGACCTTTCTACAACCTAGAGGGTTCCAAACGAGTTTCTGTTCACATTTTTGACCTGTACCCATTCTATTTGGACCATTGTCCTGTCCTTTCACAGAAAGTTAGATCATTCTAATTTGTGACCAAGCTGAGTGTCTTTGAGAAAGAAAAGTCATGTGCCTAGCTATCATCTCCCATTAAAATACCTAAAATATTGTACATGGAATAGGAAGTTACAAACAACTGAGTAGAGTTCAGGGAAAAGGGAGATAGAAAGTGGTCAATTGGTTGTAAGTTTCTTGAGGGAAATAAGTTCTGATCCTCTATTGCACAGTAGGGTGATGATGGTCAAAAATAATGTACTGCATATTTTTTAAATCCAGGAAAAGGATTTTTATGTGTTACCATAAAGAAATGATAAATAGATAGGCATGGTGGCACATCTTTCATCCAAGAACTCGGGAAGGTGAAGTAGGAAGATTGTGAGTTTTACAGCAGTCTGAGTTACAAAGTGAGATAAAAGATGGACTTATCCTGGGCTAAATAGTAAGACATTGTCTCAAAAATGACAAATATTTGAAGAGATAAATGTACTTACCTCCACTTGCACATTGTACTATATATATATATATATATATAATTTTGCAGCCTGAAAATATTTATGATTTGTACAGATCAATTTAAAATAAAAATAACTTAAAAACTGTTCAGTGGACAAAGAAAATGTGGATAGCCCAATGCGCCATCCATTGCACAATGGAGGAAAATGTGGTACATATACAAACAATGCGGTATTGTTCAGCCATAAAGAAGAATGAAATTATGTCATCAGGAAAATGGATGGAGATCATCATGATAAGCAAAATAAATCAAACTTGAGAAGCCAAACATTTAATCTTTTCACTCATATGTGGAATCTAGGTTTAAATTGGTAACAATAATAGTGAAAATGGGACATGAATGTAAAAGGGGGAATGATCAGGGCTAGAAGCAGTGAAAACAAGAAGGCAATAAGAGATGATGCTGGGAGGTGAAGAGATCCAATGTATATGTGTGTAAATGTACATGAATTTGTGTGAGGATAGCATAAGGAAACACACCAAACACTGAAAAGGGAGAAATAAGGAGGGCTAAGGGAATATAATGGAGGGGTGAAAGTTCACTTTTCAAAGTACACCTATGAAAATTTCACCTATTTTCACACCTATGAAATTTTCACAATGAAACCCCTTATATTATTAATGATAAAATGTTTAAATTTTTAAAAATTTACAAATGAAACTGTTTCTTATTAAATTTATTCACAAAAATAAATTCTAAGTGTATTTATAAAATTGAGCATAAAATATGGTGAACTTGCTAGAAGAAATATTTTTGTTACCTTAAGAAAAGGGGAAAAAGTTTTGGAATAACTGAAAAGTACCCAATAAAGAAGACTAAAATCTAGGACAATAAATTTTTTTAAGTTTTCAAGACAAGAATACCATTTGAAAAGTAAACTAGTGAATGTAGACTTATATATACATTAAGAAGAAATATTTTCCAAGACTCTTAAGTTTGACAAGACAATTAAAGAGAAACAAAAACTACCCCTGAGGTAAAATGCAGGCTGAGAAGAGACGGTCATCCGATGATTTGCCAAGGAACAAGAATTTAGAGGTAAAGATTCATATGCAGGATTGAGAAGTTCTCATGTCCAGTCAATAGGTAAGACAATGTCCATCACATTGAAAAGGTTCTTCTTAGGATATATTCCAGAGCTCCTTTCATATCCTGGTTCCTCAGGCTGTAGATAAAGGGATTCAGCATGGGTGTGACCAGAGTGTACAACACAGCCACAGTGACATCCTTGTCATTAGTGTTATTGGATGAGGGGATAAAGTACAGCCCAATAATTGCTCCATAGTACAAAGAAACCACGGATAGGTGAGAGCTACATGTAGAAAGGGCTTTGCAGAGTCCTTTGATGGAAGGAGTTTTCAGGATGGTGGCCCCAATGTGGCCATATGAGACAAGAATGCATATGAATGGCACAGTGATCACTGCTACAGCTAAAGTGAGGATAACCAATTCATTAATAGTGGTGTCAGAACCAGACAACTTAAGCAAGGCAGAGAGGTCACAGAAGAAGTGGGGCAGAGTGTTGTCTCTAAAGAAAGAAAGACGGGTTAGGAGGACAGTGTGCACTAGGGAATTAGCAGAGGAAAAGACCCAGGACCCAATTACTAGCAGGAAACATAGGCTCTGACTCATGATAGTAGTGTAGTGCAAGGGATGACAGATAGCCACATATCTGTCATATGCCATTGAGGTAAGAAGGAAGTTGTCAATACACCCAAACAATAAGAAAAAATATACCTGGGAAACACACCCAGAATAGGAGATGGATTGACTCTGTGTCAGCATATTCATCAGCATCTTTGGAGCTGTGACTGATGAGAAAGAGATGTCAGTGAAAGCCAAGTGGCTGAGGAAGAAGTACATGGGGGTGTGGAGGTGAGAGTCCAGCCTGATGACCAGGATAATGAGCAGGTTCCCCAGCACGATGGTCAGGTACATGGCCAGGAACAGGGCATAGAGCATGCCTTGCTCCTCTGGCTGGATGGGGAGCCCCAGGAGGATGAATTCAGACACACTACTCTGATTATCTCTCTTCATGCTTTTCTAGATCTCTTTGCTGGACAGGAAAAAACTGGATATGAAAGAAAGATAAGTCAATGTGACTACTACATAATAAAAGCATATTTTTGAACTAATCAAAATATGCATTTTTACCTGAATAGCTTGATCATTTTTTTCAAATTGGTGGACATTCATTATATAATTTAACTCAGCATTTTTTGAGAAGTCTGGTAACATCACAATGACCATAAGAGAAGATCTGAATCAGAGTTTAGGAGGATTAATTCAGACATATTATTCTGATTATCCCTCCCTGTGGTCTTCTACTTCTCTCTCTCTTTTAAAAAATGAAAAAATAACTGGCATGGGCTCAAACCACTCAGTATGCACATTTTTAACAAGAATATCTCAGACTTTGGCCACACCAATGGGCTAGTGATGCTCTGGACAAATGATGCTATTTAACCACCTAGGAATCAACTCACCATATTTTGGAGAAACCACGAAACATCAGAATGCTCAGACCAGGTTCAATCTTCAGGATTCCAATGGTCCCTGATGGAAATGTGAGATTAGAGAAAAAGGGTGCCAGGCTAATTCAATAAAAAATTAATAGAAAAACCAGCAGATAACTTTTAATGCTGTCTTGGCAAGGTTTAACCTCCCCCAGGCCACTATGAAACATGTGAACATGGTTCATACGTACTTTGCACACTGACATGTATATGTATATGTGTGTAGAATAGAATTTTAGAAATGGGATTAAATATAATTTATATTCATCTATATTCATGATTTTTACGTATTGCCCAATTACAAGAGGCCAATGTGTTGAGAAAGCCTATTATTTCTTATGTGTTATTAAGAGCAATCCTTAACATAAGAACCTGTCACATGAAGATTATAAAACTGGGCACTCTAGCTAAAAAGTTTTGAGAGGACATGAATTAGAGCAGTAAAGGGGCAGAGAAAATTCAAGTCCATGGTCAGTCTGGGAAAGATAGATTAGGGAATTATTGAGGTGTCTGTGTATTTAAGATATTTTCTGCTGTAAGATAAAGTTTCATTTGACACTCAGAGCAATAGTATACTCTGGAAAATATTTAGATATAAGTAAAGAAGTGACTGAATTTTTTTAAAAAAGAGCTTCCTATCTACTTTGTAGTGATTAAATTAGAGAAAGATGATTATCAGCAGGAATTTTTTTTGACTTAAAATTTTTTATTGAGATATAATTCACATATCATAAAATTTACCCTTTAAAAGTGCACATTTCAGTGACTTTTAGTATATTCAGAAAGTTGTGAAACCATCACCATTATCTAATTTCAGAACATTTTTATCATCCTAAAAAGAAACCCCAGACCCATTAGGCAGTCACTCTTCATTTCTCCTTCCTTCCAGCCCCTGGAAACCACTAATCCACTTTCTGTATCCATGGATTTGCCATTCTGGGTATTTAACACAAGTGGAATCATATAATATGTGGCCCTTTGTGTCTGACTTCTTTATTTGGAAAACGTTTCAAAATTCAGCCATGTTGTTATCAGCAAGAATTTGAATGGAAGTTATTATAGTAATTTAGGTGTAAAATAAGACCTGTTTCCAACTGGATTGTTGCAGTAGAGATACATAAATTTATACAGATTTGGTGTAAAATTTGGAAGAAAATCCAGCAAGACTAATGGGGACTAAAGATAAGCAAAAGGAAGTATGCCTCTCCCCTTTCTATTAGATACAGAATCAGTAAGATCTAGAAGGAGCTTTATTGCCATCTTATCCTCTCAAAATTTTGATGGATATTTGAGACAAATTATTCTAAATGGAGTTGTCTCTCATGCTATTGGTGAAGAGAAGTAGGATCTAGTGATAAGAGGCAAACATTGGACACTCATATAAGCACACACCCAAAGGCATACAATCATACTACTAAATATAAATTGTACTCCTGCCTTGGTATGACACCTTAGATTACTAGCACAGTTACCATCAACTATGAGGCATGGAAAGGTTCTTCCTTTTCTCTCTAGAAGGTATGAAATGCAGTGAAACACACAAACCTCTTAAAGGCTCATAGTTCCACTGTGACAGAATAGTTACCAGTTTAGAGTCCAGCAATATTAACATATGGATACATATTTATTTACAGCTCCTGAGAAACCAGTGCAAGTTGTAATTGTACAAATCATATAGAGAACCCAGGGGCAATCTCTGTACCCAGATACAAATTAAAGACAAACCAGATGTGATTACATCATTGCCATTGGTTTTCTTGTGGATAGTGAGGAAGGCACAAGAGAGTTTACCCTCAGAGGAATAATAATAACCACAGGGCAGTTATTAGGAACTTGGTGATTCACAAAGCTTTTTACTTTCCTGGTTTATAATGGGAAATTGTGACTCAAAGTTCACGATGAACCAAGCTTTTGTTGATTGTGATAACCAAAATCTGTTGTTTCTGAAATCCATGCCACTTAAAGAAAACCAGAAACACTCTAGTACTTTCAGTTTCTGACCAAAATTGTGAGGGGACTTACATTTTATCATTGCCATTGGCCCATGGGGAATGGAATAAATCTGTTTTTTGCCCCAAATCTATTGAATTTTCATTTGCTTGATGCAAAATTTACTCTAAAAATTCACTATATGCTTTCCATTCTACTGCTTACAGCATTGGTCCAAACTCCATTCCATTCATTCCCAGTTCCATTTATTCAATGCCTGATAAAAAATGAATATCATACATTCATTATTCAAAATGAAGATTTGTGAATATTTATAAATGTCGTTCTGTTTATGTTAAATGTTATCTTTACTGGGAACTGCTGTCTCAGTGAAGGAATCTTGTAAGATATTTAGACTTCAGGAATGGTTCCTGGGTTTCGTGGGTTTCAAACTTTTCTTTTTAAAAGAAAATAAAAATAAAGTACATAACTTTATTGTATGTTTGCAAACATACTGTACATAACTTTGATTAAGCGCATGAGAAAAATTTGCCCTTTGGATTTAAAAACTGTCATTATTACTTTCCCAGGTTCCAGATACCATTTCCTAGAAGACTTTTATGTTTATCCTCATCCATGCCAAGTTTCTCACACGTTTCTGAGTCTTGCTCAAAATATTTTCCCTGTAATAACTTATTGTTTAATAAAATATACTCGCATATCTAGACACAACAAAGTAGAAAAACAAGCAAATGATATTAATAAGAATGTTAGAAAGTAGAACTTCAAATGGTGTAATAACCACACAAAGATTGTACATCAGTAATAACCAAGGATAGACAAATTAAAGTCTCACTAAGATTCATTTCTATACCATATCAAAATTTTGGCAAAATTGTGCTTAAGGATGCTCTTTTTGAAAATAGTGTACTAACTCGAAGTGTTATACTTTTAGTGAAGAAACAATTACGATTTCTAGGTACAAATGAGCATTGTTCTGGGCCATACTTCCAACATCAGATTAACACTGCAAAGACATCTTGTATATGTACAACTGGAGATACAAATGAGAAGGTTCATAGCAACACTATCAATAACAGCAGAAATGTGAGAAAAAGTTAAAAAAATTAGTTGTCATTTTTTATGAAGAACACTGCACAGCAATTATATATCATATCATAGATGAATTATAGAAATGTAATAACTGAAAGAAATAAAACATAAAAACTATAAAATAAAAGGAGAAAAAGAAAAAAGTTTGTAAGGTTTACAAACTTAAAAGAAAAGGTTTTGTACTATAATGGCAAAAATCCAGTGTTCCTACCTTTTACAATGGATGTGAACTTCAGAGATTAAAATATGTCTTCAATTTAAAATTTTTTCATCAGAATTCTTACACAGAAGAAATAATAAATGAAGCTTTGTTCTATTTAACCCCCCAAAAGAAAACACAGAAACAAAGCAAAGATTTACATGCACAGATCAGTTCCCTGATCAGAGGCTACTGTACATGCTCTAGATGTGCTGACCCGGACCCTCTACATGGTCACACAGTTTAGGACCAATGCTGCTGTGTCTAGTGACAGGACCTTGTTGGCTACCAGGACTCTATATTTTGTCTCACAGATGTTTCTGTTATATGGTTGGTGTAGTCCCATAGGTTCCATGTTCCCCATGGCAGAACTTGTAAAACTGAACTGAGTCTCAGTTACCATGGCTTCCTTAGCCAAGCTCCTTCCAGACTGCATTCAGACTCCATGCTCCATCTGTGCCTGCAGTGTCTATGGTTCCATGCCGTCCAGTGCCTGCTGGTATGCTTGTGAGATGTTGGTGCAATCAAATCTACTCTGCCATCAACTCTGACTTCATTACATCTTCTAGGGGAAGTTTGGTGTGAGAATAGCTGTGCAGTAATGTGTATCTATAGGTACAGAAGCTGAAGGATGTCACTCAGCTGCCATCTTGTCTTATCACTTCACATAAAAGAATTTCTATAGCAAAAGTGTTTTCTTAATGATCAAATGTGGGTCTCCTATTGGGCAGATCACTACTCACCATGTGACAATTCAGAAAACAGCCTTAATTGTTTCTGAAAGCAGCAGGTAATGTGCTTCCAACCAATGGAGGAGAATATCCAAATGCTTTTTAAAATACTGGCCAGGAAATAACACAAACTCTCTTCCACTGGGAATGTCATGTCACTTAGATACAGCTATATTAGTAGAAAATATTGCAGCTCCCTCTCAGTAGCAACTTCACATATCAGGAAATTTGAGTGGACAGCAAGCCATCCCTGCAACAAATAGCCAGTAAACATAGGCTAATATGCTTTACTCCACAAATGATCAGAGAAATACAAGAGAAAAGCAAAATAAGATATAATTTGCCATCCACTAAACTTGCAAAACATTTAAACATTTTATATGGGCAAAACATTTAAAATTCTGTCAATAAAAAGTATTATTAAAGAAATAAAGTAATAATAACTCATACTCTGGAGAGAGAAGTATTACATTATAACCTTTTAAAACTGGAAGGATTATTTATAAAACAGCTTCAGGTTTACAGAAAAAATGAGTTTTGGTTGAGTGTATTTGTTATAATTGAACTAATATTGAAACATTTCTATTAAATAAAGTCCTTAGTTTACATTAGGGTTTATTTTTGTGTGGTTATGTTGTGATTTTTTTGTTTTTCTTTCCTTGGGTGACATGTATTAACTGTTACAAACATTATCACACAAGATAATTTTATGTCCTAAAAATCACCTTGTTCTGCCTATTTTCATCCCTCCCTTTTCCCCACACTAAGCCTTTGGTATCCCTACACTTTTTGCCTTTGCAGTAATACATTTTTTAGGATATCATAGAGTTGAAGTTACATCACATGTAGCTTTTCAGACTGGTTTCTTGGATACACACATGCTTTAAATTCCAGCAATGATACATTCATAGTATCATTATTCATAATAGTAAACACTGAAAACAAAATCAGAAATAGAAGAGATAAGTGTGTTTTAGTCTCCTAGTACAATATTAAATACAGAGATGAATTTCACAAAGATAATAGTGAACAATAAAACAAAATGTAGCAGAATAAATATCTTATTTCATACAATTGCAGTTCTAGAGCAGTCAAATTTGAAGGATCAGTACAAAAGTATTAAACTTTGACACAGAGTAAGGCAATTTTGGAAATAGTCAAGATACTGGGTAGATGAAGAGAAAGATGATATGATTAAGGAGGTATCAAATGAGTTTCAACAATATTGTTAATTTTATATGTTTGTTAAATTAGTATTTAATGTTTTATTTATAATGTGATCATATGTTACATGTATATGAACACATACACATGTATATACATACTTAGTAGATTATGTATACCACATATATTTAAACCCTACATTTTATGCATGTAACTTTCTTGTATATTATTTCAGTATTTTTATAAAGATTAAGGCAAAATTTCCAGTTAAATGAGGAAAATAAAGCTCAGATCTGAAAAATACTCAGGTGGTTTATAAGACTCAGGATTTGAACTCACATATACAGTAGTATGAATATCATTTCAAATAAATATTGATACAGGGATAGTTACTAAATATTTTTAATTTGAATTTCCTGCTAGAACTAAGTGGAAAATTAGTATAAAGATAGCTGTTACAGAAGAAGGCAGGTGAGGTCCAGTACTCACTCACTCCTCCATGAGTTAGAATCAAAAGACAGATATTCAGAGTTGAGCGATGGTGAGAAATGTCAGTAGTGGACAGACAGAGACTTGGAGGATCCCAGAGTCTTTGAATAGTGGAACAGAGTGTGAGACAGAGCCCCAAGGCCCATGATGCAACAATGTGGCAGAAAGAAAGGAGAAATAGCAGAGACCCACTAAACACAACTAGCACAGAAGTCAGTACAATGAAGAAGGGTAGTCTGAACAGACACTGGATCTGTGATCTCACATACACAGGTGATGGAGAAAGTTCTCTGTACTTCACAGTGACATGGTGTTTTAACAGGGAGTCATCTTGAGAAAGTCATGTCTGAATATACTTCTTTGGGAGTCAGAGGCTTCTGCATTTTCTTCTCTGCAAGAAGCTTTATTACACTTTCTCAGTGGGTATGTACCTTATGACCCAGTTTGGCCCTGGGGGAGTGCAACTGAAACAAGCCTTCTGAAAACTTTAGGCAGTGGGAAACCAGTCTGTGACGTAAAAGGAATTGGAACTAATTTCCCATGTAAGACTGACAGTTTGGCAAGCCAGCTTTGAGAGCTTCAAGTAAGCATGTTTAGTTTCTTATAGGAGCTAAGTCATCCAGAAGCATGGATAGTGGATTTCATGGGAATTGCGATTGCTTCCCCCAGTAAGGAGGTTTGAGGGCCCCAACCTCTGAGTGGGATGCAAAAAAGGCTCCAGGGACCCAGCTGTACTGCAATGCATGGCATCAGTCCAGTACTGGGGATATGCAGAGAAAATATCTCCAGAATAAATGTTTGCTGGCAGAGCTTTATGTTCTGTACTACCTTGCACTGGCAAGTAGGGCAGCTGAGAGGTATTCCAGCTGGCTCTTGTCACAAACCACTCATCCTAGTTGCCTAGAGAGCAACACAAAAAAGTACAAGAAAAGAACATGATTAACCCCCAAACTGGAAGCCCAGCACTTAACCCACAAATCTGCTGCCATCTGATTCTCAAAAAGAATGCCAAAAGCATAGGTTGGAGAAAAGACAGACTCTTCAACAAATGGTGCTTGGGAAAAGCATATATTCATATGTAGAAAATGAAACTAGATCCCTATTTCTCACCTCATACAAAAATCAATTGAAAACCTCAATGTGAGAACTGAAACACTAAAACTACTACAGGAAAGCCTAAGAGGAATATTTCAAGGTACTAGCAAAATGATTTTCTGAGTAGAATTCCAAAAGTTCAAGAAAAAGTAAGAAGAATTAATAAGCGAGATGTCTCAAATTAAAAAGCTTCATTGTAGCAAAGGATATTATGAACAGACTGAAGATTCCTACAGAATGGGATAAAAATCTTTGCCACCTATTCATCCTCTGTAGAACTAATATCCAGAATATATAAAGAACTCCAAAAAGTTAACAAAAGAACAATTAATCTGATCAATAATTGGACAGGTGATCTTAACAGATATTTCTTACAAGAAGAAGTACAAATTGGCTGTCTCTATGTATATGAAAAAATATCTTTAGCCATGAAGGAAATGCAATTCTAGACTACATTGAGATTCTATCACACCCCAGTAAGAATGACTTAATTATCAACAAAAAATTTCTGGGGAGGACATGGTGAAAAAGAAACCCTTATACTGTTGGTGGGGATGTAAAGTCATAGAGTCACTGTGGAAATAGTATGGAGGTTTCACTTTTAAAAATAGATTTGATATAATCTAGTTATATATACTACTCATAGGTATATACCAGAAGGAAAATTGAGTCAGTACACAAAAGAGATACCTCTTAAACATGTCTGTGTTGATTTCAGCACAATCCATAATAGCTAGGATGTGGAATCAGTCTTGGATCTCATCAACCAGAGTGGATAAAGCAAATATTGTATAGATACATAACAGTATTATTCAGTCAAAAAGAAGAGTGAAATCATGTCATCTGCAGGTGAATTGGTAGAATTAGAGACTATCGTGTTAAACAAAGTAAACCAGACAAAAAAGGATAATATTACACGTTTTGTCTCATATATAGAAATGAAAAATTAATGTCCCAAAAACAAAAGACAGAATATTAGGGAAGGGGACCAAAGAAGTGAGAAAACAGGAGAGGAAGAAGAAGTAGGGAGGGTGATATGATCAAAACATGGTATGTACATGCATGAAAATATTATAGCAAAACCAATTAATTTGTATAATTCGTATGAGTTAATAGCTTTAATAAAATATACACCCATTTTGGTAATCAGCTTATAGCAATGAAGTTAAGTATCTTTTCCTTAAGCAAAATAGTTTCTCAATTATTGAAAGTAAAACTTTACTATTTAAATGGAAAGAGGAAACTACATTTATATATTGTGATAAAAGTACCTTTTTCATTTTAAGATAATAGCAGAAGGATTAAACTACATGGAACCCCTGCTTGAATGAAATCAGTTTGCCAAGACATCTTGACAACCTACCTGCCATTCTTCAGCCCAAACCTAGACAGGCTGAATCCCTTTATCCCTTTGATTATGGGACTGATGGCCCATAATCAAAGCAGTGCCTGGGATGCCTTTGGAAACCCTGCTCTCACATTTATAACTTGCAGTTTGTGTTCATCACATCATTATCTGTTCTATCACTGCCACTGTCCTTGTCTTTCACAGAAAATCATCTCATTCAAATTTGGGAACAGGCCTAGTCACTTGGAGGCAAAAGTTGTATGCCTACTTACTACCACACACTAGCACAACTTTAAAAATGAAAAATGGATAAGAAATTACAAAAATATGGGGATCATGGGAGGAGGGTATGTGACAAGACTACTTTATGGGCAAGTTACAGTTAAATAAGAGAAAAAACTTCTGATGTTCTATTACACAATATGGTAATTTCAGGCAATGATAAAATACTATATATTTAAAAATTATAAAACAAAAAATTGAATGTTTTTATCATAAAAAAGTAAAAAATGTTTGAGAGACTAGATATACTTTCCATTTTTTTATTGCACTGGGTTGGGGTACGCAGTTACAAAGGTCCTTACAATATATAAAATATATCATACTTGAATTCACTCCTTCCACCATTGATTTGAACATTATATATTGTATACATGTCTTCACTATATAGGAGCAGGCATCCAGTAAATATGTACCATTTTCATATATCAATTAAAAATAAAAGTAATAATTGAAAAAAATTAAAAAGAAAACCATAATCACATTTCTAATTAATGTTAGTCAAAAATAAAATCTAACTGTACTGCAAAATTACATGAAAGAATAACATCATGAACCTAGCAATAGAAACATTTTTGTTAATTTGAGAAAGGAAAACAACTTCCTTACAAAAGGCTACAAACTTATGAAAGTCTAAAATCTGTGACTACATAAAAGTTTAATAATTTGTGTCAAAGGATTCTATGTGAAAATGAAAATATACAGATATTATGTAAAAACTTTTTTACAAGGCTCTCAGGATCAATAGGAAAACAAAGAGATAAAAATGACATGCAAGTTGATACACAGCTGAAAAAAAAACAGTGTTGCACCAAGAGTCACTAAAAAAGGAGCACTTTACAGAGGAAAAGATGCTTGGAAGGGATTCAGAAGTTCTCGTATTCAATTAATAGGGAATTCAATGCCAACTAAACTGAAAAATTTCCCCTTCTGAGTATATTTCTCAGCGCTCCTTTTATATCCCGATTCCTCAGACTGTAGATAAAGGGATTCAGCATGGGTGTGACCAGAGTGTACAACACAGCCACAATGACATCCTTATCATTAGTGTTATTAGATGAAGGGACAAAGTATAGCCCAATAATCGCTCCATAGTACAAAGAAGCCACAAAGAGGTGAGAACCACATGTGGACAGGGCTTTGCAGATTCCTTTGATGGAGGGAGTTTTCAGGATGGTGGTCCCAATGTGGCGAGATCAGAATGCATATGAATGGCAGGGTAATGACTAGAGAACCTACAATGAGGATAACCAGTTCATTGACAGAGGTGTCTGAGCTAGACAGCTTAATTAAGGCAGAGAGGTCACAAAAGAAGTGATGGACAGTATTGTCTCTAAAGAAAGGGAGACGGGCTAGGAAGAGGGTGTGCACAAGAGCGCCAACAAAGGATAAGACCCAGGATCCAATTACTAGCAGGAAACATATGCTGTGACTCATGATGGTTGTATAGTGCAGTGGGTGGCAGATGGCCACATATCTGTCATATGCCATTGAAGTGAGAAGAAAGCTGTCCAGATCTGCAAAAAACAAGAAAAAGAACACCTGGGAAATGCACCCAGCATATGAGATGGATTGACTCTGTGTCAGCATATTCATCAGTATTTTTGGAGCTGTGACTGATGAGAAAGAGATGTCAGTGAAGGCCAAGTGGCTGAGGAAGAAGTACATGGGGGTGTGGAGGTGAGAGTCCAGCCTGATGACCAGGATAATGAGCAGGTTCCCCAGCACGGTGGTCAGGTACATGGCCAGGAACAGGGCATAGAGCATGCCTTCCTCCTCTGGTCGGATGGGGAGCCCCAGGAGGATGAATTCAGACACAATACTCTGATTATCTTTCCTCATGCTCCTTTTCTTCTCTATTGCTGGAGATAAAAAAAAAAGAACATGAGAAAAATAAGTGGTATGACTACCACATAATAAAAGTTCATTTTTGAACTAGTAAGTACATTTTATCCTAAATATCTCAAATGAATTGGTTTATGCCAAACTAGTGAGAACACTAATGTCAACCTAAAAACCAACTCAATATATTTTGAGAAATCTTGTATCATCATAACAACCATTAGCTAAGACCTGAATCAGAGTTGGGGAGTTCAGGAATCCATGATGGAAATCTGAGACAAGGAATTATGTTTGAAAGCCAGGTCAATATCCAGTTAACAGCAAAAACTAGCACTTGATCTCTAGTGATTTATTATTGTCTCAATCTCTCCAAGCCTCTCAAACACATTTTGACTGATGTTTTATTTCCAGATATGCATCAGAATTGAGTGAGTTCAGTGGATTTTTTTGGATCTCTAAGATAATCTCTAAGATATCAGGATATAGAGACAGTGGCAGCATCAGGCAAGGGCCTCATAGGTATCAATATCTATTAATAGCATAAAATATCACATCACTCACCTTAAATATATCCATCAGTTCTTCCATTAAAAACATATTTCCCACTAAATATTTTTAGTGTTTCATCACACTTTCTAAAGGAATTTTCATGGAACATGGATTTTTAAAGTCTGTACCTCTTTCAAGCACAAAAACAGACATGAAGACCAGTGGAACAGAATAGAGGATCCAGATATGAAGCCACACAACTATGAGCAACTTATCTTTGACAAAGGAGCTAAAAATATACGATGGAGAAATAGCAGCCTCTTCAACAAAAACTGCTGGGAAAACTGGTTAGCAGTCTGCAAAAAACTGAAACTAGATCCATGTATATCACCCTATACCAAGATTAACTCAAAATGGATCAAGGATCTTAATATCAGACCCCAAACTCTTAAGTTGATACAAGAAAGAGTAGGAAATACTCTGGAGTTAGTAGGTATAGGTAAAAACTTTCTCAATGAAACCCCAGCAGCACAGCAACTAAGAGATAGCATAGATAAATGGGACCTCATAAAACTAAAAAGCTTCTGTTCATCAAAAGAAATGGTCTCTAAACTGAAGAGAACCCCACAGAGTGGGAGAAAATATTTGCCAATTATACATCAGACAAAGGACTGATAACCAGAATATACAGGGAACTTAAAAAACTAAATTCTCCCAAAACTAATGAACCAATAAAGAAATGGGCATGTGAACTAAACAGAACTTTCTCAAAAGAAGAAATTCAAATGGCCAGAAAACACATGAAAAAATGCTCACCATCTCTAGCAATAAAGGAAATGCAAATTAAAACCACACTAAGATTCTTTCAAGTTTGTTTCTTGTGTGTTCCTTCAGCTCAAATTGAATCATGCTTTTCAGGTCTTTAAGACATCAGTAAATAATTGGCTTTTCTAGTCACATCCTGGATCTACCAATGACATTCTTTGTGTCTTTCTGACATAATCAAATAAAAACATATACTTTTCCAATTTTTCTAATTTAGATTTTAATCCAGTGATTCTTAACTGATATTTTTCTCATCCTATTTTCAAATTTAAAAAAAGTTCCCAATACTATCATTCCTCTCTTTTTCCATTGGGTGAATTGATATGAGAGCTATCCATGTGGACAATTACAAAAAAAGACAGAGAACATTTTGATCTGTTGACTAACAAATAAATCCATATTCCATATAAAAACTCATTTAATCTGAACATGATGGTCTTTGAGAACTGCTCGGAGGTGTATCAAGTTTTGACTTATCACCCTTTTGGGGTTGTTCAGCTGACTTTTATATTACTGTATCTATTTGCTTAGCTGATTGAAATTTTCTTTAAAATCCCTACATTCTTCAGCAAACTAGGTTAAGCATTCTGCTAATGTGATGTTACCTGATGAGTTATACATTCTTTTATGTTATTCATTACCATGTCAGTAAACAATCAGTTTAATATAATGAAAACGCTATTAGCTATCTTTTGGGAATTTAGCTCTTTTTAATATTTTTCTATTTCCAATAATATTACAATAAATATCATCATTCACATTATTGTTCTTCTGTGTATGTGTGTGTAATAAGTTCTAGACATGGATTGAGAGTGAGTGTATATTCATAATTTTGATAGGCACATTATAGGAGGGTAGGTGTTAAGGAAGACATTCTTACATTTCTGTGAAAAGACCTATGAATATACGAGCCCATCATAAGAAAATTATAAAAATGAGAACTTATAGTTAAATGTTTGGAGGAACAGAGAAAATTCAATACCGCAGTCAGTAAGGAGAACTATGGAGCTGTAGAATTATTGAGGATCCAGAGTATATACAGCCTTTTCTGCTATAATGAAAACTTTCAATTCTATTCTTAGAGCAATAGTATGTTCAAGAAAAGTTTAAGTAGATAATTGTCTGAAAGTTTTAAATATCTTGTTTTTTAATGGGTAAATATAAGTTTGTAGCAAGATAAGAATGTCAGGAGAATGTGATCAGGAGGTTTTGCAGCAGTTTAGATGAAAAATTGTCTCCATTTACATCTGGGCTCTCCAGCAGAAATGAAGGAAATTTCAGAGATTTGTATAAAATTGGAAGAAATCTAACAAGATGAAATGGGGTTAGAGATAAGGAAAAGGAACTATGCTTTCCTCTATCTTCTCCTAAATTACAGAATCAGTTTGAGATAAATTATTCTTCAAAATTCAGATACTCAATTCACAGTAAATTACTGTACATAGATCTGTCTGTCATCCTGTGGTGTGAAAAACAGTAGACTGTAGGGATAAGTTGCACATAGTGGACACACACATGCATGTACAAACACATGCAGTCATACTACTGAATGTAAATTCTACACCTGCTCTGACATGGCTTCTTAGATAATGAGCACAGGTACCTTCAGCTACCTGGAATAGGGAGATTCTTCCATTTCTGTTTAGAAGGCATAGAATAAGGTGAAAACTCATGGAATCTCTAAGGGATACAAAGTTCTACGGTAACAGGCAGAAGACTTATTTGTTCAGAGCAAAAGAAGATATAAGATAAACATTTGCTCACAGCTCCTGAGACTTTGAGGTGAGCTCTGACTTCACAAGGCATGAATCAGACCCTAGGGGTCTTGCTATGCCGCATTTACAAATTAGAGACAGGATATAATTGCTTCATTTTCTTTGACTCCCTTGGTTATCAAGGAAGCCATTAGGAACTTGGGAGTTCACAAAACTTTTTATATTCTCAGTTCACGCTGGTGAGAAAGTGATTCAGAACCCATAATAGATTAAACTGAAGGCTACCAGGAACACTTGTTCCTTCCCATTATTGCCTATACTCTCTCTTCAACAAAATTAGAGGTAAGGGCAAAATAGTTTCTGCTGGGTATTGAGGGGGGTGGGGGGAAGGGAGGGGGCGAAGTGGGTGGTAAGGGAGGGGGTGGGGGCAGGGGGGAGAAATGACCCAAACCTTGTATGCACATATGAATAATAAAACAATTTAAAAAAATAAATAAAATAAAATAAAAACACTAAAAAAAGAACATTTACTATAATTAAATGCATAAGTCTCAAAATCTAAAAAAATAAAAAATTAAAAACTGGAGGTTACATGTGTAACCAAAGTCTCTTTTTTCTGAACTTCCTGCTATTTATATTTGACAAAATAATGGGCTTCATGATAATATTCTTACACATTTATGCATTGTGCTTTCATCATATTCATCCCATTAACTTTGTTTGCTCTCTCACTTCTCTGACTGGTTTTCCTACACATACATCCCAAAGTCCCCTTTTTACATTTATCTCCTTTTTTGTTATTTTTAGATATAGACTCTCCTTTTGAAAGAAACTTACATATAGAATTTCCTTGCTTAAAATGATCACCACTTCCATCCATGCTCCTGCAAATGACATAATTTTATTCTTATATATCCCAATTTCTTTTCCCTTGCAGAATCTTTTGTAGTGGTGGCTTTGTGGTCACATATTGTTTTAGTTTCTGCTTATCATGGAAGACTTTTATTGCTCCATCTATTTTGAATGATAGCTTTGCTGGGTAGAGTATCCTGGGGTTGAAGTTATTTTCATTCAGTGCCCGGAATATCTCCCCCCACGCTCTTCTTGCTTTTAATGTTTCTGTTGAGAAGTCTGCTGTGATTTTGATGGGTTTACCTTTGTATGTTACTTGTTTTTTCTCTCTTACAGCCTTCAATATTCTTTCCTTAGTTTCTGAACTTGTTGTTTTAATGATGATATGTCGTGGAGTAGTTCTATTTTGATCTGGTCTGTTTGGTGTCCTGGAGGCCTCTTGCATCTGTATGGGAATATCTTTCTCTAGATTTGGGAAATTTTCCGTTATTATTTTGTTGACTATATTACGCATTCCCTTCGCTTGCACCTCTTCTCCTTCGATGCCCATGATTCTCAAGTTTGGTCTTTTGATGGAGTCAGTGAGTTCTTGCATTTTCTTTTCACAGGTCTTGAGTTGTTTAATTAATAGTTCTTCAGTTTTTCCTTTAATTACCATTTCATCTTCAAGTTCTGAGATTCTGTCTTCTGTTTGTTCTATTCTGCTGGATTGGCCTTCCGTTTTGTTTTGCAGTTCTGTTTCGTTCTTTTTTCTGAGGTTTTCCATATCCTGGCTGTTTTCTTCTTTATTGTTGTCTATTTTTGTCCTGAGTTCATTTATCCATTTATTCATTGTGTTCTCTCTTTCACTTTGGTGTTTATACAGTGCTTCTATGGTTTCCTTTATTTCTTCTTTTGCTTTTTCAAATTCTCTATTTTTATTGTCTTGGAATTTCTTGAGTGTCTCCTGTACATTTTGGTTGACCCTATCCAGTATCATCTCTATAAAATTCTCATTGAGTACTTGTAGTATGTCTTCTTTTAAATTATTCTTGTGGGCTTCATTGGGTCCTTTGGCATAGTTTATCTTCATTTTGTTGGAGTCTGGATCTGAGTTTCTGTTCTCTTCATTCCCCTCTG